GCGGGGTCTGCGGGGGAGACGCGTGAGCTGGGGTGGGCACTGCTGCACGCGGGGTCTGGGGTAGGAAGACACGTGGTAGGGTGGGCACTGCTGCATGTGGGGTCTGGGGTAGGGAGACGCATCGTGAGCACACAACATGGCATGGGCAGATGGCAGGTGTTGGGGGGGGTGGGCACCATGGCCCATTCAAGGTCTGGGGTGGGAGAGACACAGCGTTACACAGCTGGGGCCCGACAGTGGCCACCGTGGCCTGCCTTGGACTTGCCTCTGTGGGTTTCTGTGAATGAGTGTGCTGACTGCAGTGACCCCAACAAGGAGGTGCACGCCCCCGGTCTGATCCAGGGGTATGGGGCACGTCCCCTACATCAGTACCCCCCCTGCTTCCTCATGGGCTTTCACAGCACACGGCTCCCTGGACGCCCAGGTCAGCCTTTTCAGAGGGGAGCAGCATCCATTTTACGCCGCGTTTGAACTTTGAGACAATGTTTAACACCAGAAAGACAAGCCGTTAAACACGTACTAATATTCTAACAACAAAAGAGAAGCCAAACGACTTTGAACAGCGAGAGGTTAGATTTGCTGTGCTCACAAAAACAGTTCAAATGAAGCCAACACCATCAGTGTTCACCTTGAACAGAAGCCTCTCGTTTGTCCCGTGTGATAACAAGCATTCAGGAGAAAGGTCGCTCGCTGCTGGCTGCTATGGTTGATGTGCCGTTTGAAAACATACCATGATTCTCTCAAAGCACCTGTAAGCAACGGGTGACTTGGCCCTGGAGAGCAGAGCTGAGTCTGGGGTTTCACCCTGACTTGGACAGGGAAGGGGTCCACTCAGGGACTACCTTTCACGCCCAGAAAGTCTCTTCTGCCGCCTTCCGAGCACACTCCACGGGATGTCTCGGCCGCGCTCAGCAGTGCACTGTCAGGGTTGGTTTTATTTTGCACCCATTCTTGTTTGGTTTAGAGGCACCATCTAGCTCATACCTTCCAGAGAGCACATGTCACAGCCCCTCCGCCCCTCGGGGTAAGAGAGAGGGGGGCCTTGCCCCTGACCCAGCATCACGCGGCGCTGACAGGTCAGAAGAAATGCTGCGGCCGTGGCCCCGAGGGTGGTCCAGAGACATGGCCCTCCAGCAGGCTGCTGGGGTCCGAGTCCTCAGCCCGGGCAATGTGAAGCGCTGGAGGGTTTCATGTGCCCCGCAGACCCACCAGAGCCCACAGGTGTGCTCGGCCATCCAGCTGGCATGGTGAACGCTGGCCGGTGACCACTGAGCTGCCCAGCAGACTCTGGAAACCAGTACTGAATGTAACGCTCGGTTGCCATGAGGAGGAGGAGGGTTGGGATGTGGACGGGGTGGACGCTCCGTGGCTCTCACCACAGGACAGACTCTGTCCTGGGAATGCTCGTCCTGCCACATGGACAGCATCACCACACTGCACAGAAAGGGGGCCGAGGTGCCGCCCCCGGAGGGGTGAGGGCATGCCAGACCCGAGCCAGCCTGGCCGGGCGGGGCCCTCGCCCTGGTCTGCACACTGCTGCCCGCAGCCCGGGGCGCGTGCCTGGTCTCTCCTTCCCCCGCAGCTGTCTGATGCCTCCCGGTGCAAGCTCTGGCCCTCAAAGGCCACCACACCCAGCACTCCCAGGAGGAGGCCTGGCCAGCTCACCACCTGACACTGACCCTGAACCTGGGGCCCGGCCCACCTGCCCCCTCCTCCCTCGCCTGCCACCACCAAGTCCCCTGCCCAGAGCTGGGCGCCTGCTGCGGAAATCATGTTTGCCTTTCACCGACCGGGAGCTGCCTGCGAGGGCAGGTGCTGACACTGCCTGCAGACAGGCCTGCCGGCTCCACGCCCTCCGACTCTTCCTCTCCACCGCGGCCGTCCCTCGGCCCTGAGAGCGCCCACCACGGCCCCTCCTGGGGGCCTCCTCTGCCAGCGGCCTGTCTCCAGCCACACACCAGGTCCCAGCACATTGTCCTCCAGATCAGCCTCCGACAGCACCACAAGAACATCTGACACGTGTGCATGGGGAAGCAGCGTAACTGTTTGGGACAATAAGATTTTGCCATCTCGGACTTCCACCCGCTAACACCGATATGTTTTTCATTCCACTTCCAGGAGCCCCGTGTAAGGAAATGGATATAAACGAATAAACATCCGGCAACACTCACATCGTCAGAAACAGAATAGCATCGGAAGTGCCAGAAAACGCTCGTGACAGTATCAAGTGAGAAAGGCTGTCAAGTCAACTCTGACGAACACGCAGAAAAAGGCTGGAAGGACGCGCTACGAGCTGACAGCAGTCAGCTCCGGACACTGGGCGTGTGGGCACCTCATCTGCATGCCCCCGCGACAGGCATGGGTTCAATGAATAACGGGAAGAAGTCAGGACC